AAAAAAAAAAAAAAAAAAAAAAGTAAAAATGAAATTTTAAACATATATATTATTTTTTATGAAAAATATTATTTGCAGAGACACAGTTAATGTTTTACCTGTTTATTCTGTATGTATGTAAATAAAATTATTTTTCTCCTTCTAGGTTGACATGCCCTCTTAATTCTGCTGTTGTCCTGGCATCTTATGCAGTACAGGGTAAGTAATAACATCTTTTTTGACTGACAAAATATATTTGAGCATCTTTGAACTGTCCCTTTTATTCCACTGATCTGCATTGCAGAAGATCATCTGTTCATTTGGGAGAAAGTTGTTTCTGTGGTTGATACACTGTAATATCTTTGCAAAGAGCTACTTACAAAGGAAAGACTACGTTTACGTAACCAGTAGCCGATGCTTGTATGTCTAGGGCAGATTATACGAATGAGGGAAGTATATTTATTAAGTCTGTGTTATGGTAAAGATATTACATGAACTGGCTCACTAATTAGAAATTCATAATCGGTACCCTTCTATATATGTTCTCTAACAAGACTAATTTTATTTAAATAAAAAAGTATCTCAGTTTCAATTGAAGACAATTTAAATGCAATTTAAAGTTGGATCTGAAGGACTTTGGTCCATTCAAATTAGATGCTGCAGTGGCTAAACTTCAAGTGCTTGACTCCCAGAATGGAATTCAAAATGCTGAAGAAACACTAGGCTTCTTCGTATACATGGCACAGGGAGAGTTAAGTGCCTTAGAAAAGTCTGAGCAGAGACCTACCTTAGGGTTAGACAATAGGGAATGCTGAGCACAGGGATGTGTCTGCATTACAGCTTCCCTTTGGAGCTTGGGTTCTGAGTCAGGACTGCAAGGGATACAACTTTCCATTTGGGATCCAGAGATGGGAACCCTTTCCCGAGGGTAAATCCTTATGAGCACTCTTTGAAAGAAAAAGAGTGAATCCCACTCTTCTCACATTGTAGCTGTAAGATGGGAGGGTGGGGGGAAGGGTGGGGGGAGTACTGGTGATGGTACCAGCCCAGTGGTTAGAGCACTCATGCAGGAAGTAGGAAACTTGAGATCTAGAAGAGGCTGAGATCTAAGCTGTCCTCATCCAGGAGGATTCAGATCCACATCTGCCACATCCCAGGAGCATGACCTAACTATGAAGCCATAGGCTAGTTTGGGCTGGCACCGTAACCCCAATATCTCTTATGTTGGCCTGACTGTACTCTAAAACAGGGCTGTCCAACTTTTGCATGGCTGGGTGGAGCTGCAGGCTGTGTAGGTTGCATTGGTGGGGGGCCATAGGTTCTGGGACACACGCAATGCAGACACCTCATAGTGTCCCCTGCACTCCTCCCTCCATCCCCCAACAGACATACATCTGCACACCCTCTAGTTTGCCCTCAATTTTGTGCCATTCTGCATTGTACTATCTTGCCCCCGGGCCAGGCACAGAAAGCAGAAGCCAGAAGAACAAGAGCCTGGATGGTCTGGCTGCTAATGGGGCCACAGTGATAGGAGTGGCCGACAGGACTGCAACTTAACCCTTCATAGGCCATATTTAGTCTGTGAGCCACCAGTTAGACAATCCTCATATAGAAGTTAAAGCTTTCAGCTGGGAGGGGAAATTCTGAGTTTCAGTCCTTGCTTCCTAATGCATTTTTGCATGAAACAGTCATTGTTACAGAAGAGTAAAAACAGAAGAATAAAGGTATGTTCCTGAGAGCAAGAACTATAACAGAGAGCTCCCTCTTCCCAGCTGAGTGTCCTCACTGCTACCCTACTGGGTCAGATTGAGTCTGGTTCTGTGAATCCTGCACTTGTTGCTGCAGAGTGCCACAACTTCAACAGGATGTGTGAAGAAGCCGCCACGTGCCCCCCCCCCCCCCCCCCACTCTCCTGGGAGGTGATTGGTATACAGTTGAATCCCTGCAGGTTCAGGAAGGCACGATACCCAGGTCTCCCTCTTACTGGGTGAATGCTTTATAAAAGGTGAGCACAACTGTTACCACATTCTCTCAGATTGAAAGTGGTTGTAGCTGCCCTGTTCTGTTTTGATTTTAATGCTGTTGATGTGTTGGGTGTTGAATGAGCCTCTCTTACAAGAGAGGTGCCAATTCTTCCAGTTTTTGGATCCAAATGAGTCTTAAATGGGAGTCTAGGAATATAGCTGTTCAGACTGGGGTAGCTTCAGACATGTGTAGAAGGCAGAATTAAAGAACCTAAGTCGCCATTCTGCTCAAAAAAGAGTGTAATCAGTTTAGGTGTTTCCAGGGTTAAACAGCTGTTGAGAAGGGAAGCTTGGATTGCACTTTTGGCTTGGGCACCTGAAATCCAGACCTGTTTGTTGTAGGGACCTTTACTGGCCCTTAATTTATAATATGAAAGTAACGTGTGACACTAAATGTAAAGTAGGGAACTGTCTTTTGGAAAGCAACCATGAAGAAACACATGGGCAGGAAGGCATTAATTGTGGAGAGTAAATTGATTTGTTCAGTAGAATATTGTGTCAGGAAAGATGTTTATGTTTTTGGATATATACAGGGAGATTTCTGTCACTAAACAGTGTACAATGATGACCATTTGTGTAATGATCTGTACATGCTAATCTCTGTATTACAAACAAACAAAAGAAGGTTCAAAATGTGATACTTAAGCATGAGACGTGAAAAAAATGGAAGAGACTAAATGTATGTAGCCTTAACGAGGGTATTGAAGAGGTTTTATACACCACTCCACAAATCAAATGAACAACAAAAACAGAAGGTGAAAAAAATCAGTGAATGCCCATTTTTCTTAAACCTAAAAAAGTCTCAAAATTAGGAGAGGGTCAACTCGGGTCATGCATTAATGAAATAGTTGGCAGGATAAAGCCAGGCTAAAAGAGTTTGCAGAGCTGGTTATTGACGACGCAGTTGCTCTATGTCTTTGTGGAAAGGTTAGCTATGTTTACAGAAGGAGTTGTAAAGGGCCATTTTGGCTAGAAATCAGGGCTGAATTATAAAATATAAATGTAAAATGTGCCTCTCAAAGGAAAGGGTGGGTCTAATGGGAGGCTGCTATAAAAAATACATCTAACCAGAATAATTTAATTAGAATTGTCAAGTGTTTTGTGTTGCAGTGTATAAACTTTCATTTTTAAATGTTCCTAGATTTTAAAAATAAGTTACAGATTTAAGTTTTTTCTAAACTGAATTGAAACTCTTAAGCATGGGTGCATATACCTGGTCCTCCCCTCCCTCCCACCTCCATCCCCTGCCGAAGAGGCTAGGGATCCAGTTGTTTGAAGACAAGAGTAGAATGATTTTATGCATCTTCGGATGCTGTAAATTCAGCAAGATCTTAGACATCACTAATACACAGAACACCTAATTTAAAATGCAGTTAGGTTTGCTAAATGCAACAAACCTGATGCAATCCTATGACAAAAAAAATGAAAAGTCCCAGAAAAGTCCAAACCTTATATTCTGTCACAGACACACACTTACCATATTTACTGGACTATAAAATGACTCTGATTATAAGACAACCTCCCAATAATTAGATTATACATATGGAAATTTAAAAATTTGTTATAATTTTCCAGGTTTAAAATCTAATTATTGGAAGTTTGCCATTAATTTATTCTCCTCCCCCTTCTATAGCAGAGAAATAAATCTGGGCTGTCAAGTAGCCCCCTTACCTTCTGCTGCCCCTTATTGTGAGACCTTACTCACTCTTAGCATATGGAAGTGAGAAACAAATTTGAAAACCCTGATCTAGAAATAAACATAGCTGTAGCAATTTGCATATAGTAATCTTGGAATTAATTTACCCAGAATTGATGCATGTTACCTTATTTGAAAATGCTGCAAGTTGACACGGGTATTCCTTAAATGCATTTTTAAATAGCACGTAGTACAATTGTTTTTTGTGCAAAACTATATATTTATATATTTATATACATATATACGCACACGGTTCACTTGACCACTCATCACATGCATCTAGAGTTAACTATCATAATCCCCATTACAATAAATGCAGCTGTGCACTCATGTGCCCATCACCGTCTGCTTTAACTATTATAACTGCACAAAATCATCTCTGTACCCTCTTCATTTCTTTTCGAAGAAAAGAAGAAACCCCTTCGTTTCTTTAACCAGTCCTTAGTCCATATCATCTTCACCATCTTCCTCCCCCCTCTTCATTACCATCATCATTCTCTTCCCTGGGGGTCCCATTCTTGAACAGCCTGTACCTTGTTTTCCTCTTTCACGTGTCTTCCACCGTCTTCTCCCCATTGGTTCCTTCTATATTCATACAGTACATCTGTAGCTCGCTCACTCCCATGCAAGCCTCAACTGGGAGGTTTGTGTGCCTGTGTGTGACCAGATTCCTAGCCTTCCACAGGGCATTTCCGAAGCAAGACATGGACTGGTCAAAATGGGCTATTGGGGTCCCTTGCTGCTTGGTGACGTGTCCAAACAGCGCTGCCTCTTTTGTCAGGGTCTTGATTCCCATCACCATCTGGAGGAATCCACTTACTCTCCCTTACACTTCCCTGGTGTATGGGCAGTTCCAGAGGAGATGGTCAATTTGTTTCCTTTTGTTACCAGCAGGTTTGCCTGAGGCAGACAGGTGAGCCTCTCTGCACCTCTCTGTTTCAGTGCCTACACAGGGAGTACCCATTGGGCTACCTTCTAGTTCAAGTCCCTGTGCTCCTTTTACAGGTCCTTTTGGAAGATTTGCTCCCACACAGCCTGGAAGCCATTGCTAGGTAGTACATCTATGGGCAACAGTCTGTCTTTTGCCTTTACTATCTCCTGCATCTTATGGTGGTTTGTCATGGTCTTCAGGGCTTCACTGTGTAACCCTTATTTGTTCTGGAAGTGGTCCAAGCCTTTGTAGAACTACGGTGGGTCCATGGTCCACAGCCACATGTTGGGCAGCATGTACACCTGGTAGTCTTGCAACAGGTGCCCTGCAAAGTACTTCACGAAGCAAGCTGTTTTGGTGTTTGTAGATCTGGCTTGTGTACTTGGCGCAGAAGAACAGCAGGACGTCTGGCATTCTTTGGCCTCCAGTCCGCTTGTCTTATACAGTGTGTTCCTTGCAACCTTCTCCCATCTGGAGCCCCTGAAGAAGATGCATGTGGCTCTTTGGATTCTGTTAATGATTTGCTCTGAGGGGAGGAAGACCAGCCTGATGTACAGAAGCACTGGTG